GGATGAGACGTGAAACGTCTTCAAGGAACTTAAGGAAGCCCAGATGCTTTTTTCTTTCCAAGCTCCTTAGACTTTGTGCTTTTAGTTTTTATTCACTTGATGATCAGAGGCTGTGTATCAACCAGCATATAATGTCAAATCATATATAGTGTTCCAAGGTCATTTGGTGGAAACAATCCAAACTATGAAAACAGTAGTTAGTTGTTGGTCAGTTGTTCGGAGTAAACAACAGGTGGGTTTCCAGCTGAGAGCCTGAGCAGCAGCAGTTTCCTCTCTTTGTACAGAGCAGTGCATTCAGATCCAAAGGGTGGAAAAGTCCCACAGTTTCTCTCAGCTCTCTGAATATCTGAGGGATTGTGTAATGGCAGCTGGAGGCAGAGTGACACAGCATGAAGGATGGCAGGCTTACAGCAAAAACAGACTCTCCACAACACTACAGCAATGAAAGCCCCTTTAACTGCCACAATAAACTTTTATTACAGCTAATATAAAGTCCCGAATTATTTGTTACATATATGATTATTCGCCAACATTTGGCCAAATGACATATTTTGCTGATTAAGTAAATACCGACACTTCAGAAAACACAAATTAAAGCATATCTTAATAACCTCCTAAGTAAGTGTGGGGAACTGCTGAAAACTGCTTGACCATTACTTACAAGTGAATACAAAATGTTGCAGTTACCTTAGTCTGTAACCTTCACACCAGCAACACGTGTTCAAGCCAAAAGAAGTAGATTTAAGAGGATAAAGGGAAATCTTTGACATTTAGACCACATGCATATAATCACCAACTAAAAAGAGGGAGAGTGTGTAAATGAAATATCTAAAAACATCTTTTAAAGTTTACTTAGGAATTAAGAGGGGAGAGTTTGTTTTCTTTAACAATGGCTCATTTTCTCTCTCAGATTTATGAGTTCATTCAAACACACATACAGACATATCAGCTTTTGTGCTCTCAGACACAGCAACACAGCCTCTCCTCTGGTGTAGTTCATATACAGGCAGTTTGATCATCACTGAGGACTACGTTTTTCAAGTTTAGGTTTGTTGCTGAGGAAGGAACAACAACAACACACACACACACATACACAGCTACAGTATATGGACAAAAATATTGGGCCACCTACACATTACACCTCCAGGAGCTGCTTGGCAATAAAAACCCACACCATGAACCTACCGGTGCATGTGCCTCAGCACTCGACAGTCCTGCTCTGTAACATTACGTGGTCAGCGACTTCGTGAAAGAGTTGCTGTGGTTCCTAATTGCTTCCATTAGGCAGTAATACCACTTACAGTGGCCCGTGAAATGTCTGGTTGGGTATTACAGTACCGTGCTCTAATTTAGTGAGCTCTTCAGAATGATCCACTCTTTCAGAAACGCTAGGCAGGCTGCATGTCTATGTGCTTGATTGTATACATTTGTGGCAATGGGTCTGAAAACACCTGAATTCAAAGATTAACAGGTGCAACCCACTACTTTTGTCCATATAGTTTATGTGTCAGAATGTGCAGAGAGCCTTGAAAATTAGCAGCTATTTCACTGAAATATATCTCATCTGTTAAAGTGCAAAGATTGATAAATTCAACTATATTTATAATCAGCATGAAAAACTGAAAAAGCTGATAACTGTCATAATGAAAAGACACAAAAGCAGCCTGATATCAGAACTGTCAAGTAAATATCCCTGCATGTAGGGCTGGGCGATATGGCCTAAAATCCATATCGCGATATAATTTGAAGAACGTGCGGTAACAATATATATCACGATATATAAGCTCAGTTTTTGGCTTTCCCCATATTTCAAAAGTGCTTCATCTCTCTTGCTGTGACTGACGCCCGGCATAATTTGCAGATGATAATGGTTGTAGCCGCTGCAATGCTTTCGACCAAAACAGGCACAGCTTGATGACATCATCAACATGCGCTATCGCGATAGAGCGGTATAGTCAAAATCTCTATCGTTGGCCAAATTTATATCGTTTCTATCGTTTATATCGCCCACCCCTACCTGCATGTCTCCTGACACAGCAGCAGTAATGTTAGATGTGAAAAGTTGATCATTTTTTGAAAGCAATGCCAGCAATCAGAATGCAGGAAGCAAAGTTTCTGATGCTCCAAGTTTCTTGCAGACCCTCTGCCCTAAGCTCAAGTGAAGCATATGGTAGCCTATGACAATGTTAACCCTGAAATCTTTTACTATAGAGAGAATTACAGGTAAATTTACATCTAAGCACTGTAATGCTTGGAAATATTAACACTTGCAGTGTATTATGAAGTCCACAAAACTACCCCTCAGACTCCTAGTAGATGCAGTTTTCAGTTTTTAGTAGGTCCCTAATTAAATAAAGGCTTAAGTTCAATGACTTTTCCCCAAAATGAGGTCTGGAGAGATTTTCTTCCATGCTGGTTACAATTACTATGCACAAATTTACGCACCAATGTGATTGCATCAGAGAGCTGCAGACTATGCTTGTACATGAACGTAAGTAGGCGAGATATTTGATGTAATGGAATTTTCCTATACATTTGTATTCAGGATTTTTCAAGAGATTTGTCTCTGCCTTATAGTATAATGGCTCAAAGTATTGGATGAAGCCTAGCAGACTCCTGGGACAACTGTGAATCAATGCAGGGCCTAGATGACCTATAATTTTTGCCTCTGCATTTGCTTGTTTTTTCAGCTTTAGAGGTTGTATCTTGGTCAACTGTCAGAAAACACAAATTCAAAGAGAATCAATTTTGTAAACACAAGACTAGGAAAAGCAGCATATCGTTAAAAATAACAGGTTGCAAGAGTGTGGAACGTGGCACAACTTTTCTTCAAAACAGATTCATCTGCAGCTGATCAACTCATATTTTCAAGTCTGATTAACACTACAAAAAAAATAAATAACGAAAGATTGCTTCGCCCCCCCCCAAAAAAATAAACATAAAACTGAATTCATTTCAATGCTAAACATTTGATATTTCTAAGGCCACTGTAATAATTTAAGCTTAATAACCTGGAGAATAATGACACCAAACCAAACTGGAACTGAATGACAACACACCATGAATCAAACATTCAAGCCCCCTTTATCCTGTGTGAATCTGGGGTAAGTGGGATGTAAGGTCTGGGGTTTTTCTGAGGGGCGGGTGGGGGGTGGTATCCCATATTCCTTCTCTACTCCCCTTTTTATAACTCCAATGTGTTAACATGCAGCACCAAGCAACACAGCCCTCTGCTAACAGTTTAACAACAAGAAGACATCGCTTTGGAGAATGATATAGTCAGAGTTAGAAATATGTTCAGACACAGTCAGAAAAAGGTCAAATTACATCAGTCAGAAAAACTGCTAGTGAGTGTCAAGGGACGGAGCTCCATCAAAACTGGACCTTTGTCAGCTTATGAATCATACACTATGTACTGCAGTAGGATCACTTCATCTAACCCAACCTTGGAAACTACTCACCAAATTGCCACGCTCCACCCTGTACACACATTTCACAGCTACATAACGATAGACAAGAATGCTCTGGCCATGAGAAATAGATCTAGAGTGTCACTGATCTTGACTGTTTTAAGCCTCCCCTCAGTAGCAGCCAGGAAAATCTGACAAGGCAAACGTGAAAGCACACGCTTCACCCCGAGACTGAGTGTACAAACAGCTTGTACAGACCATAAGCATAAACTCCAGAAGATAGAAAGTTCCCAGGGGATGTCATTAAATGAAGGTCTGAACACTGGCTTCCTAACATACAGAGCATTTCCACTCTGATATTATTAAGAACGGCAACAAAAATAAACACAGACTGCCCCAGTTGAACCCATTTTACAGCTGAGTACTGCAAACTGGTATCAGGTCCAAAATCAGTCCAAATTTTGTCACAGCATGGTGTCTTCTGGTATGCCTGTTAATCAGGAAATAGAGTGGGGCTGATTTAATAGCCGACTCCCCACATTGCATGTTGAAGTGGGAAAGAAAAGTCCAACTTGCCCTGAGTGTATTCATTTAAGTGTGTGTGAGACAAGGCACTTACTCATGGAATAAAGGGCTGTATGAATGTGTGTGTGACTAAGCGAACAAAGCTATTCTAAAAAGCACTCTGAAACTGCTCAGTTGGCTTTGAAAAGCACTATAAGTACCAGTCCCTCTGAAATAAACCATATTTGTGGTTAAAAAAACTTGAATTATGAAGCTCAGATTCGCTTTAATAAAAAAAAAAAAAAAAAAAAAAAAAAAAAACTCCCTACAGCAGCCTGTATGATGAAGAAAGCATGAGGGAAGATGCTGCATGAAGGATTGCCTTCAAATCAGATTTCACTATTTACGCAACACACATCACCACATGTGCACCTGTCTGCTGTGCACGCATACACACAATAAAAGACAGGTAACATTAGTCCACACCCCTGGACACGCCCAAAAGAAAGAGAGAAAAAAGAAAGAAAGTTCGATCTCTCTGATTTTCCTTTTTCCTAGCAGTACTGGAAATACTGGAGTGACCTCCATGAGCCCCCCAGACTAACCAGGCGGAAGTGATAAATGCATGAACTAATGTTTTTGCCATGAAAAATACATGTAAAGTGTCCCCCGCCCCCCCTCCAGAGAGCTTATTGGGAGAGGGACAAAATGCCTGGTTAAAGATAACCAGGCATAACCAGACGGACAGCTTTGCGAGTAGCCTGATACTCGGCTCTCTGGAAAATCGACGGGAACTGTTTCCCACTCTAACTCACATTTTCACGTAAAAAAAGCTCAAACTGGCATTACAATTCAAATTAAAATCGCGCTTCTTATATTTATGCGCAAACTAACAGCTTCAAGCGCCTCGACTCCAAAACACAGTGATGTGAAACGTCGCTCTAAACCCGACAGAAACAGCCCACTCTCTTCATCGGTGCTCAATGAAACGCGCTGAGGAGTGCGCTGCGCCCTCGTTGCGTCGCTCACCCAACGCATACCAAAATTTCAACCTCAAACTTTCTCGGTTATTTAATTTTTTTTTACCTTTAATGTACTTGGATTTGTTTTCATCCAACAGGCTGGACGCGGAACCCCCCATGATGCTTCTGACAGGAGACGATCCGCAGGTAGTGTTCTGCACTCAGGTACTTACACCGTCACATCAGCTAGCAGGGCGTGCTCTCCTCCTCCTCCTGCCAGTGTGTCATTCAGTGACGCTCCGCCACTTAGGCCAGCCCCAATAGCGCCTGTGGTCTCCCTAATCATCCACCGTGACTTGTTGAATCACAGCTGTAAAAAGCTCTATTCAGTTCGGTTCATCAAACGACTAATAATGAATAAACAAATAATATTAATGTAACTGACCCTTTGGATTCAGGAGTGCTCTATCTAGACAAGGAGACAAGAGGGTAGAATGTAAAATATTTACTTCAAACATCAAACTTAGAAAGGGACAATCTTGTGATAGATTTATAAAAATACTAGAATTTTACCAACCCAAACTGTGCTGTCCCGGAGCTTGCGCAAACAGAATTGTGATGTGAATGCAATGTGGTGCCGAACACGTATTGCTTTTGCAAGAACAGCTATATAACATCTTTTTGTTTTTTATTTATTTATGGATTTTCTATTTCAGTTATTACATGTGCTATTAATCTCAGGCTCTCTTCCACAGCGTGTCTTTTATCCTGTATTCCTTCTCTCACCCTAACCGATCGCAGCAGATGGCCGCCTTTCCCTGAGCCTGGTTCTGCTGGAGGTTTCTTCCTGTTAAAAGGGAGTTTTTCCCTCCCACTGTCGCCAAAGTGCTTGCTCATAGGGGGTCATATGATTGTTGGGTTTTTCCTCTGTATGTATTATTGTAGGGTCTACCTTATAATATAAAGTGCCTTGAGGCGACTGTTGTTGTGATTTGGCGCTGTACAAATAAAATTGAATTGAATAAGCTTCGGTGGAAGCACAACCATCTTGGTTGATCAAAGAAACAAATAAATCACTCACATAAGCAATGCTAGTCTCGAGTGATTGAAAAGCAGGCAATTGAACTTGACATTTGACTTCTCATCCAAGATGCTTTTCACACACAGTAGCTAGGAAGAAACTACCCACAGAGACCGAAACCCTTTTCTGTATGACACTGTAAACCGGATTTTAAATGTTGAAAAGGTTGACATTTTAACGCTGAAATCTGCAGCGACTTACGGTAGTTACTTTTGGAGCCATGCATGGGAGGAATTGCAGTTTCTTAGTACTTCCATGGCTCTCGAGTTTGCGGTTACCGTTTTGCTGGTGACTAACAGACAAGCCCAATATTAGCATGTCCAGTGGAAAGAGCCAACGCAAACAAACTTATCCACAGAGCAACAGATTTGGAAAACGAAGTCTTTTAATGTGTTTTTCTTTTCCCTGAATGCACTAAGGTTGTTTTCATCACTTTTTAGGCTGATAATATTTTCAGTGTCACTGTTCTATGGCTAAACGGGCTGGTTCTTATTCAGCGACTTTTTACTCTGAGCACTCAAAGCACTTTATACAACGTGCCTCATTCACACAAGCACTTTTTTCCTATGCTCTTTCTATGGAAGTGTTTTCTGTCTAACATTCACACACTACCTGGGTTAGTATATTGCCCAAGAATTTGTCATGCAGACTTGAGCAGACGGGCATCAAACCACCAACCTTCTGATTAGTATGTGACCTGGTCTACCTTCTGAGCTACAGACCACACAAATATCTAATGTATATCTCATGCCTATTACAGGTTACATTTTAAATATAGTAGTTCTTAGGTGTCTCTCTGCATATGTCACTGCTTAGTATTGACTCTGACCCTTCATTGTACATTTTGGGTAACATGTGCGCCTGTTCCACACTGGACAAAAAAAACCCAGAACAGTTTAAAGAATGAAATTAGAGCCCAGTAAAGAATTACTAAGACAGCAAGAGACGAGATTTTTATGATGCTTTTATAAAACAAGGGAAACAAAAAGGTAATAAAGAGATTTTCAGCAGAAATAAATAGAGATAAAATGAGCCATCTGTAACACTTGAATTTGTGTACAAATAGAAAAATATCTTTCCTTGGTTTATGTTTGATTAAGGTTTATTCAGAAAAACCACATGTTTTGACTGAAACTGACTGAGAATTTAGTTCAGGCGTAAAGAAGCAAAGAAATAAAGTTTCACTTCAGGTGTGGAGTAGTGAAGCCTTTTATTTGCTCACACTGTTTTCTCCATGCTCACGCTGGTCTGAGTGGCGCTAGCGTTGGTGCATGTAGGAACGCTGTACTTGGCGAGGACAGATTTAAACTGCAGCAGCGTGGCGTCGGTTCGAACCCCCGTTGGATCAAAGTGAGTCCGACTCACTCTGAAGCCAGCTTCTGTCAGGTACTGAAGGAACTTGTTCAACCTGTGCACAGAACAAAGTATTTACAGCGAGGTGCACTCTGATCCTGACTAGTGTTTGGCCTGTTTTTGTACTTTGGTCATTAGTTTCCTATTTGTTGCAAAGTCACCAAAATGTGAAAATACCTGAATTCTTGAGAGAGTTTGGTAAAGGTCACTCACTTGGGCATATTCATGCCACGAATGCTGTGGCGATGGATGCTGTAGTAGAATGGTGGGTGATCCAGAGCGGCATCAGACTTGAGCTTTTTCACAAAGTTCCCAGATTCATCTGCAATCTTCCTCTTTCCTATGGGAAAGTTCAAAATTATACCTCAACAGAAAACTGGAAATGAAGAAGTCAAAAATCATTTTTATGTAACGTCATATATGTTATACTGAATACTGAATATGTCTGAAATAATGCAGTAAAGGAAATTTTTAGGACAAAACTACAATAGTTTTTTTAATAGACGATGCCTGTAAAAAGTGTTAAAATTAAGACCAAGTAGTTAATTTATTCATCATGAATCTCTTTAATGCAGGAAAGGCTTGCACTGCCCTCTAGAGGACACATGCATGCTTAGAGTATGGCCGTCTGTGTACACAGTCTTTACTCCTTTCCCTTGTCTGCTGCAGGTTTTCACTCAGTTGTCCATGTGTGTGAAAATATTTCACACCAAGTAGGAGGCCTGAGTGAATAATGGAGGCTTAGAAAACTTTGACTCACCAGACTGATCAGCAGCACCCGACTCCTCTCCAGTGTTTAAGGTCTTAATGACAACGCCGCACTCCACTGCAGAAGAACAGAAGATCCTTTTAAGATTCAACCATGTCAACATCAGACCCATGTTACAGATGATAGATTGGTACCTTGGTTGGTGAGAGCAGACGGTCCGTGGACTAAAGACTTGAGGGTGTTGCACTCAGACTCATAGATCAGGGTTTTGACAAGCGGCTGGATATCATCCATGCTGTGCTTCACAGCTGCAGAAAGCATCCTTCTCAGAAAGCCTGTGTTAAATAGAGGACCAGACCTGCACATGCACACATACACAAACAGCTTGGTAAGTATTTGGACAATGACACTTTAACTCTTTGCTTATGTACACAACTTCATAGGATTTTAAATGAAAGTCTTTAACAAAAGTATTAACTTTGTAGCACCATTTACATTTTGTATTACCATCTGTGTGTATTATTGTAGGATCTACCTTACAAATAAACACTTTGAGGGAGCTGTTGTTGTGATATCAGCGATTTTTCATAAACAGCCCCCCACTTTCAGAGGCTCAAACGTAATTGGACTGACAAACAAAGTTTTAAATATAAGGAATGTAAAATGTAAACAAAGCATCCTTCAAACTAAAGAAGAGAGGAAGACGGAATTGGCAGCTCGCACATCTGAAAAGACGTGCAAGCGCAGTTTGGAAAAACATACAGGTTTTCGAGCAGCACATTCTCCCATCCAGATGATATCTTTTTCAGGGAATACCTTGCATATTTAGACTTTAGATGGGTTATTTAGTCTAATTAAGGAAGGCATTAGAGGAATAGAGAACTAGGGCCAGGATGAGCCACACAGTTTTAAAATAGTTCTTGATTGTTGGTTCTTGTGGTGATATCATGCTTTTATCTCTTTCTGGACTCTTTACAAGCTTGTTTTTATCATTAAATTATGCACCCAGTTTTTGTGGGTGTTAGATGCATCCTTCAATAACAAAAATGGTTTAAAGTATCAGGATTTTGGTAAAGCATTTCTTTCACTGGCCATTAAATAATTTAATTGCCACAAAAATGTTTTAAATTAAATGTTAGCACAAGGATAAGTGGAGGAGAATGGATGTTAACACCAAACTATTACAGCTACATGAGAACGCAGCAGTCTGTGACTGGTGTTGCTATGTGCAGTTTACCATAGAGGTCCCAGCTGCACTGCTGTTTTTCCAGGCAGACTTCCATGACAGTTGCAGGGTAATGTGTCTGAAACAAACAGGCATTAGAACACGATGATGAGGTAACTTCAGCATCTTATTAAAATTAAAATTATTTGCTACAGCTCACCAAATATGTGACAGATTCTTAAATTGCTTTAATGCTTCAATGCTTTAATGCTTCATGACGAGGCTCCGGTCCATTCGCACCAGAACCTCTCGCCATAAGAACAGTTTCTTCCCCTCTGCTGTTGGACACATGAACAATAACCATATGACTGTACCCGCCACTAACACATGACCCTACGCTGTGTCACTGCATCATTCTATGTTTGGCACTGATCACCACCTGCACTCATGTATATATCTTTCAACGTAGCAGTCTTAATTCTTATTCTCATGTATATATCTCATGTATATCTCATGCACATATCTTTCCACGTAGCACTTTTAATTCTTATCCCTACTTTTATTTTTTTCCATGTCTATTTAAGTGCTATTTATGACAGCATGTTTGCACTGAAGCACCGCAGCAATTTCCTAATGTTGTAAACCTGCTCAACATTTGGCAATAAACCCCATTCTGATTCTGATTCTGATTCTGATTTAAAAGCTTGTAAATAATCCTCTACAGTATATGATTTTCAGCCACTCACCATCCACCATGTTTCCCTGTTTGAGGAACACTCTCTCCTCACACCACTGGCAGTGCATCAGTTTTCGTAACTTCTTGGCTGACTCATCAGCTTGCACAGGACCTCTGAGGACTCTCACGACCACCAGCACAAAATGCTCTAATGCCACCGCTAGCAGCACCTCAATGCCCTTGTTGCAGCGTGCTGCCGCTCTGCAGCAGATGGAAGTTAATCAGTATAAAAAGCTGATTTAATTCTGCATCACATCCCACATTAA